CACATGGCTGAACATTTATGGACACTGTAGATGTGCCTTTCTTGGCACACTTCAAATCAAGATTTTCTGGGGGAAGGGTAGGTACACAGACAAGAGCTAACATGTCCACCAAGGAACCACTAATCCCCTAAGGGAACTCCAGGATTTCTAGGAATTTAACCTTTATCGATGTTTTCTTCACAGTGAGTTCGATGGTCTTACACCACTTATGAGGGAGGTTTGTTTTTTTTTGGACTGTAGTGGTAAGCTCATTTATCTATGTGTGTGTTCAGTGGCCACTTTCTAAGAAGATATCCCATTAAAATCCTACTGTAAATATCAGAATGGTTTCAAAAACCTTTTATCTATCTTCAGGATTATATCCCAGGAACGAGTAGATTATGTGTCAAATCTCTACTCCTCAGCCTATTTGGAAAACACTTTGAGAGCATGTTGAAGACACCCAGGAGGGATGCCCATGTTATTAGATTCCTACATTTGCTTTAACAAATTACCACAATCTGAATAGTTTAAAACAACAGATTTATTCTCTCATAGTTCTGGAGGTAAGCAGTCCAAAATTGAGGTGTTGGTAGGGTTGGTTCCTTCTGAAGCCTCTGAGGGTAATCTGTTCCATGCATACTTCTTTGGAAGTCACCCTCAACTCACTACAGACCAGGTGTCTAAACATCACTATCCAAAGTGAACCTTGACATCAAAGGGGCTGTTGCTATCACAGGGATTCCAGGGTGAGGGATGGGGACCCAGGAGACTTCTGCCGGGAGTAGGAATGCTCTATGTCAGTGGAGGGCAGGTGATTCTGGGTCATTCTACTGGGAGCAGAGCACAGCCTTCAGAGTTGGAGGCAGTGAAGAGCTGGTCAGAAGGCCAGGTTCCAGAGTGAGATGATAGGGCACACTGGGGAAGACCAGGGGGAATGTGGGGACTGGACAAAATTACTGGTCCCTGGGCAGAGTCAGCTCTCAAGGAAACCTGGGGGTCTGGGCAAGAGGACCCTAGGTAAATAAGGTCCACAGACAATCCCCAAGGTGTGTATTGTTCTCATTGGCACCTTCCTTCTTTAGGCCTGATCTTAGTACCTTGGCCATAGGGTCCTTCTTTTTGTTACCTGAGAGATATTATGGAGCAGTAAGAAATGAATTGAGACAAGGCTGCCTCAGGTAGGAAACATGGGAAGAGTGTGGACTCTAGATGAATTCAGACCAAGAGTCTAGTCTCAGCCCTATCACTTACTAGCCATATGATCTTGGGGAAATTCCTAAGTAAGCACTAAGACCCTTAGATTCCTCATCTGTAAAATAGATTTGATAAGCCCTGTCTTGTAGAATTGTGGGGATGTATGCTATGTATCTGTAAAGCATCTGGCACAGTGCCTGACATATATTGTATCTTTAACGATTGACAATTATTTCTAATATTATTTTGATCCCAGACCCCACCTCTCACTCCTACGGGAATTTTTGTTGCTGCTGTTATCCAGGACATCTCAGAGAATATGCAGCTCAGTAGAACACACAATGCCAAATCAGCCAAAAATGATGCTTAGTAAACAAAACTCAGTAAATTTTCCCTCTTAGAGGATATATTATTTAATTCTGGTGTGGGGAGTCTTTCCCAGCTGAATACAACTCCAAGTTCCTACAATATGAGTCAAGGACCAACTCTTTCCCTCCCTCCCAGACACTCTTCCATCCAAACCACTATTTTCATTTCAACCCCCTCCTCCCACTCCTATACAACAATCTATCCCTTGCTTAGTTTGGCCAAAATACTCAACTAATTAAAATGTTCTTTTACTGGACTGGGTTCTGGCTTTCCCAGACATAGGAAAATTGTACCAGGCTAGCAGTTTCTGGGCATCACTTCAAGGGAGTACTACCCTTATTTCTTAGGAAATCCTTGCAGATGATGTGTATAAAAGCACTTAGTTCATGCACTGTGTTCAACTGCCCCGGGATAAGAGTGTAGGACACCTTCCATAACTGCCTTATGAGGTGATTTATCTCTGGTTTATCCACAATCCAAAGTAACTTCTAAGAGCAGTTTTCCATTCCAGGCTTTTCTCTCAACTCAAAGACACGCCATCGGAAAGTCTGGGCCCTGCCACCACCAGCTTAACTTAAAATTAATTCCCACAGAAGGAATCAGTTTCCCAAAGCCACAAATTGCCTTGGCTCAGGGCATTTACACTTGACTGCTTTTACCTGAGGAGTCCCTGAGTGGTGCAGATGGTTAACATGCTCAGCTGCTAACTGAAAGGTTGGAGATTTGAGTCTACCCAGAGGTGCCTCAGAAAAAAGGTCTGACAATCTACTTCTGAAAGGTCACAGCCATGAAAACTCTATGGAGTGCAGTTCTACTCTGCAACACATGGGGTCACCATGAGTCAGAACTGACTCAACAGTAACTGGTTTGACTCTCATCTAGAGCCCCAACTCCTCACTTGTTTTCACTTGGTCCTTAGGTCTTAGAGGATATCTCACCATCCTCTTTGTATGATTGCTGTTCCTAGACTCTTCCATTTCTATTGGTACGGGTGTGTCTTAGTTATCTTAGGATCCCCACTACTAACACAGTGCTTTCCAAAGAGTAGATGCCCAATTAATGTTTGAAGAATAAATGAGCCAGTGAGCAAGGGCTTTCATTTATTAAGATTTAATTTCTCTTACATTCATGAACAAGCCAAGCAAATCCAAGTACATATCTTAAATTTTACAGAACAACGGACTAAAAGTGATAAAGAAATCCAAAATTAATCATCCTTTTTACAATCTTTTTCTCTATTTTAGTGCTGAATTCTTTCACATTTTGAAGGACAATTCTATTCCAATTTCATGTTATCTTGCTTCCAGATGATAAAATAAGATGGAAGGCTTCCCAATTTGATTTACAAAATAGCTGTGATGGATTGAATTGTGTCCCCTAAAAAGTTGTGCTGAAGTCCTAACTCCTGTACCTGTAAATACAACCCTGTTTGAAAATAGAGTTTCTACGGTTATGTTGATGATGACAGATTCTGAGTAGTATCTTATAAAAACAGCAGAACAGACAGAGACACACACACACAGGAGGAAAAGACCATGTGAAGAGCTATCCAAACACCAAAGAAAACCAGAGGATACTTACAAGTATGGACACACCCCTAGAGCCAACACCCTGATTTGGACTTCTAGCCTCCAAAACTGTGAAACAAGAAATTTCTGCTCTTTAAAGCCACCCACCTTGTGGTATTATTGTCACAGCAACACTAGCAAACTATGAAAATAGAAAAACTCTTACTCTTAAGCTTGATAAACAACAATAAATGTGACTAATGTCATTCATAAACTTATATTCTGAGCTAATTACACCTACTCTTAAAAGGAACAACCTTTGTCTATGGTCAGCTGATTTTTGACAAGGGTGCTAAGTCCATTCAATGGAGAAAGAAGAGTCTCTTCAATAAATGGTGCTGGGAAAATTGGATTTCCACATGCAGAAGAATGAATCAGGATACATACCTCACACCATACACAAAAACGAATTCAAAATGGATCAAAGACCTAAATGTGAAAACAAAAACCATAAAATTCTTAGAAGAAAATATAGGAGCATGGCTGTGGGGCCTAGTTTTTAATGATGGATTATCAGATATGACAACAAAACCACAAGCAGCAAAAGACAAAACACATAAATGGACCTCATAAATATTACTTTTTTCCATCAAAGGACTTTATCAAAAAAGTGAAAATACAACCCACAAATTGGAAGAAAATTTTTGGGAACCATTCTGATATGGAGCCCTGGTGGCACAGTGGTTAAGAGCTTGGCTGCTAACCAAAAGGTCGGCAGTTTGAATCCATCAGCTACTCCTTGAAAACCCTATGGGGCAATTCTACTCTGTCCTATAGGATCACTATGAGTTGGAATCGACTCAACGGCAACAGATTTATATATCTGATAAGGGTCTAATATCCAAATACATATATATATATATATATAAAGGACTTGGACAGTTCACCGAAGAGGATATTCAAATGACCAACAAGAACATGAAAAGATGCCCAGTATCATTAAGCCATTGCGGAGCTGCAAATCAAAACCACAATGAAATACTACCTCATCTCTATTACAATGGCAATGATCCCCCCAAAAAACAGAAAACAACAGGTGTTAGCAAGGTTATAGAGAAACTGGCACCCTCATCCATTGTTGATGGTAATGTAAAATGGTACAGCCAAGGTGAAAACAGTTTGGTGTTCCTCAAAAAGTTGAACACAGAACTACCATATGATCCAGCAATCCCATTCCTAAGTATATACTCACAAGAAGTGAAGGCAAGAATACAAACAGAAACCTGTCCACCGATGTTCACTGCAGCACTAGTCACAATAGGCAAAAGGTGGAAACAACCAAAATGTCTATCAACAGATAAATGGATAAACAAATGGAGTATATATACACACAATGAAATACTATTCAGTCATAAGGAAAAACGAAGTTCTGATGCATGCCACAACATGAAAGGAGTCTTTAAAACATTATGCTGAGCAAAATAAGTCAGTTGCAAAAGGACAAATACTGTATGATCTCAACGTATGTGAAATAAGCAAATATAGAGAAACCAAAGATTATTAGTGGTTACCAGGCATGGGAGGGAAAAAGGGGGAAGATTTTGCTCACAGGGCATTGAGTTTATGTTAATGGTGATGGAATTTTTTAGAAAAGGATAACGAGAACGGCTGCAGAACTTAAAAGATGTAATCAATGTTGATGAATTGTACATGTAAAAAATGATGATTTGGTATGTTTTGTTGTGTACATTTTCACCACAATATAAAAAATAAAAAGAAGAACAACGTTTGGAAAATACCAAAAAGAATATAAATCTCCATGTCACCTACACAGAATAGTAAGATGAAAAGATAAGGATGTTAAGCACTGTGCTCCTGCAGCCCCACCCTGGCCCTCCACTATTGAGTACATTGACTGCCCTCTTCAAACAGAGTGAAGGCTTTGCCTCAGTCTTTATTTGGGGCAGGAGAGGCTGCTGGACAATGCTGTGCAACACACATAGCAGTAGTACTATCCAGGGGGGCAATTCTGGCTTGAGCTCTCTCTTCCTCATCTTTCAAAGCCTCCTCATACCAGGGCGAGAAGGAACTGAGTTCAGTCCCATTGATCTTGGCCAAAAATTCTAGAACTTTTATTTTGTTGGTTTCTGCATGGGCTCTTGGACCCCACAGGAATTCATAGCGGGCAGGATCACTATTGGGCACCTGCCGGTACTCCAGGTAATTCTCCTGCACCCAGTCTCTGGTGATGAGCTGCCTGGGCTCCCCATAGATAAAATGCTCCCTCCCAGCATACACTCCCATCATATTAAGGAATTCCCACATCTCCTCCTCAGAGCTACAGTTGCCCTCCAGGAAGATCATACCCAGAATAATTATCAGGAGGCCATTTTTGGGCATGCTCTGCTCATCAATCAGCATCGTACCATAGGTGAGATCCAGTGAGTTGACAAGGGCATAGGAGTGGATGGTAGGATCCACCTCTTTCACATCAACACCAAAAACCACCTCCATGCACTTACAAGCCCTCTCGAAGATCACAGTGAATTGATTCTTGTACCTTTTGATCACAGTGTTCAGCATTTCCGCCTTTGTGATGGGCTGTCTCATTTGATACTTGAGGAGCAGGAACTCCACTAAATCAGTCACCTTCTCTTCTAGCGGATCTCTGGGCGAGGACTCCGTGCCTACCGAGGTCTGAGCAGTGCTTGGACTTTCCTCCTCTTCCGCGCTGCTGGAGTCCTCATGTGAGGTGCTCAATGAAGTGGAGAAGGAGAAGGATCTCTGAGGACTCTGATGAGTAGTTGGTGTCACAGCAGCAGGCACCTCTTCCTCATCCTGGGTGCCCACGTTCAGAGGAGAAGATGAGGAGGAGGTGGAGGGGTAGGAGAAGCGGAAGGAAGAAGATGAAGAGCAGGGGGAGGAAGAGCGGGGGGAGGAAGGGGGGGAGGAGGAGGAGGAGGAGAAACAGGAGGTGATTAAGTGGACAGTGAGTGAGGAAGAGAAGGGGGAGGAAGATGGAGAGGAGGAGGAAGAGGATAAGGAAGAGAGGAAGGACAAGCTGAAGGAGGAAGAGGAAGATGAGGACTCCTCCTCCTCCTCAGCTGCTGGAACCTGTGCACCCACCAGGCCCCGTGCCTCAGTTTGGGCCTGAATGTCTTCCTCAAGTGTGTAGCGCTGACGCTTTGGAGCACGAGACATGATGACTCTTGGTGAGGGCAGAAGGCAGGAGTGTGGGCAGAAGGGTGGGCAATGGGGGCCCACAGGCCTGGGGAGAGAGGGAGAGTATGAGCAGCCTCCGTTGAGAAACAACCTTGGCAGTTGTTATGGATTGAATTGTGTCTCCCCAAAATATGTGCTGGAAACTTAACTCCTATACCTGTGTTAAGGAGTCCCTGGGTGGCACAAAAGGACTACTAGCCTAAAGGTTGGCAGTTCAAACCCACCCAGAGGCACCTTGGGAAGACCGTCCTGGGGATCTGCTTCTGAAAGGCCACAGCCTTGAAAACCCTATGGAGCAGTTCTACTCTGCACACATGCGGTCACCATAAGTCAGAATCAACTCAAAGGCAACTAACAATATCTGTGGGTATACCCTCTGGGAATAGGATTTTCTCTGTTATGTTAATGAGGCCATATCAGTATAGGGTATGTCCTAAATCTAATCACTTCTAAGTGATATGAAGAGTAAGAGACACAGAGACAAGCACATGCAAACTGGGGGGAAGACAAGTGCCACATGAAAACTACCAAGGAACCAAGTCATTCTGGGTCTACACAAGCTAAGACCAAGATCTTCGCCCAGAGCCCACAGAGAGAGAATCAGCCTTCCCCTAGAGCTGGTTCCCTGAATTCAGACTTTGAGCCTCCTGAACTGTGAGAAAATAAATTTTTCTACTTTAAAGCCACCCACTTGTGGTGTTTCTGCTACTGCAGCACTATGAAACTAAGACAGTGGCTCTGACAAAGGTTAACTTATAGATCTTCTCTTTAGATGCTGCTTTACGGCCTCACAGACCGCCTGTCCTTGTGGTCAGCCTGTCCTCTAAGAATCTAAAGGAAGAAGTGAGACAGCTCGTGTAGTTTGCCAGCACAACCTGAAGCTTCCAGGGCTGACAGTAGGGCAGGTGGAGCTGGGCACTGTGGGGTCCCCTCTGTTCTCGGGTAGGTGCAGGGTCTTGGTAGGCATTCAGGGTCTTCACGTTGCCTCCTAGCAGTGCCTGAGCCTCCTCTGCTCTGCTGACCTGAGGACATGTGCCTCAGACCAAGGCCCTTGCCTCCTGGTTCCTTGAACCCCTGTGAGAAGAATTGAGAAGCACCTCAGGCTGCAGACTGCAAGCATAGTCCTGGGTCTCCCAGTGCTGGCAGGAGGGACAGGGGCAGACTCTGTGAGGTCCCCACAGTTTGGAGGTAGATAGTCCCCTTCCTCAGATTTCCCCTAGGAGAGCCTGGGCCCCATCCCTCTGCTGACCTGAGGGAAAACTCTCAGAACAAGAACCTACACTCCTGAGGCCAAGGAGGAAAAGCGAAGGAGTGCCACGTTTGCCCATACCTACCCAGGGACTCCCAGGGGAGACTACAAGGGTTGGTCGAACTCTGTGAGGGCACTATCTGCCCTGGAATGGGAAGATCCTATAGGTCCACACATTGATTCCTTGCAGGCCCTAGGAGCAGGGCTTCAAACTGGTTCAAACCAGTTCAGTCATGACCAACAAAGTGAAACCAGAAGAGACCTGAATTTTTATAATTTGGGTGATCCAGAACCATAACCAAAATGAGAAAAATTATGAGTCGACGCGCTGGAGTGGGAGACTAGAAAGAGGCATAGTGAGCGCTTTCAGGAGCCTGATGCATGAAACTGGATTACTGCCAGGACTGAGGAGTGTGACACACAGTCAAAACAGCATGTTCAGCCACCATCTTTGAGTGGGGCACCGCTGTTTCTGACTCTAAGCAAAATTCTATAGGCAAGAGATATGGTTGTTATGGAATGTGTACGCTGCCCTTGTTTTCTAAGAAGGATACTAAGTTTCTAGCAGGGCTTCAACCTGTAATTTTTCCCATTCCAGTTATGGTTCAGGTTCACTCAAATTTTAAAAACTCGGGTCTGTTCCAGTGTCACTTCCTCAGCCATGACTGAACCAGGAAGAACCACTTCCAAGTCCTGCCTGGGACTCCTCCTCTGCTGACCTGAGTCAGATCCCATCAGAACAAGACCCTTACCTCTCTGAGACAACCAAGAAGGAAGTGAGGGCATACCACATCTGGCCACTGTGCCCCAGGGACTTCCAGGACAGACAGTAGAGACTGGATCCATCTGTTCTGTGGCTAGAAGTACTCTCAGTACTATTTCAGGGTATTCATCTTTACTACGGGTAGGACCTGTGTCATCTTCCTGCTGATCTGACTTCACCTTCTCAGACCAAGGTCTAATGTCCCTGAGACACCCACCCTACCCCACCCTAGGCAGATGTGAAGAAACACCACATCCAGCCACCCCTCCCCACGTTCTCCCAGGTCTGAGAACAGGAGACACCCAGATTCTGTTGGGTTCCTTCATTTCCAGGTAAGGATACCTTCAGTCCTCACCAAGCGTCCTTACCTAGACTCCTAGCAGAGCCTGGGTCTCCTCCCGCTGCTGACCTTCTGTTGCCACCTCAGCCCAAGGCACTCACTTTGCTGAGATTCTGAGATAAAAGAGATGCCACATCCAGCCACCCTTACCCAGGTTCTCCCAGGGCTGACAGCAGGGACAGGGCCCTATCTGTTCTGGGGTGGGGGGTATTCTCAGTCCTCCCTCAGAGTATTCATTTTCACTCACGGCAGGGCCTAGGCCCACCCTCTCTGCTGACCTACTGTTGACCCCTAAGACCAAGACCCCTTGTCCCTAAGACACCCTCCACCACTCCGGGGATGAGTGAGAGGGTACAAAATGTAGCCACCCCTGCCTGGATCCTTCCAGGGCTGAAAACAGGGCAGGACAGAGTTTCTGTGCCCCCCCCCCCACCGTTTGGGGTGGGGGATACCCTCAGTCCTCCCTCAGGGTCCTTACCTTAACTCCTGAAAGGTTCTGGGTCTCTTCTGTCTGCTGACCTGATGTTACCCCCCACCCCAGACCTAGGTTCTCACCTCCCTGAGACCATGAGACAAAAGTCAAGGGGTGCCACATCCAATCACCCATTCCTGGGGTCTCTCAGGGCTAGCAGCAAGGGCAGGGACCTGTCTGTTTTGGGGTGAGGAGTACCCTCAATCCTCCTCCAGAATATTATCTTTACCCCTGCCAGGGCCTGGCCCACACTCTACTGACCTGATATCTCCCCCTCAGACCAAAATATCACCTCTCTGAAATACTTTATTCCCTGCCTTCCATGACAGAAGTAAAATCTCGCCCCATCCAGCTATCCGTGTCCTGGTCCTTCCAGGATTGAGAACACAGGAAAGTCTGACTCTGTGGGGTCCCCTCTTTTCTGGGGTGGGGGCTACATTTAGTCCTCACCAAGGGTCCTTACCTTGACTCCTAGCAGAGCCTGGGACTCTTCCCTCTGACCAGATGTGGCTGCTGAGACCAAGACCCTCACCTGAGACCCTTGAGACAAAAAGGAAGAGATGTCACATCTAGCCACCCCTTCCTGGGTCTCCTAGAATAGACATCAGGGTCTAGATCTCGTCTGTTCTGGGGTGGGGGGGTTCCCCCAGTCTTCCCTCAGGGTATTCATCTTCCCTTCTGACAGGGTCTGTGGCACCCCTTCTCTGCTGACCTGAGTTTGCTTCCTCAGACCAAGGCCCTCAGCTCTCTGAGACACTTGCCCCACCCTGTCCAAGGCAGAAGGGAGGGCTCACCTCATCTGGCCAACCCTGCCCTGGTCCTCCCAGGGCTGAGAACAGTGGACAGTTGTGCCATGTGGGGTCCCTTCTTTTCTGAGGTGAAAGAAAATTTCAGTCCTCACCAATGGTCCTTATCTTGGCAGAGACTGGGACTCCTTCCTCTGCTAACCTGACATCATCTAGTACTTAGACAAAGGCCCTCGTCTCCCTAAGACTCCAGGACAAAAATGAAGAGATGCCACATCCACTACCCCTGCCCGGGGTCTCCCAGGGCAAACAGAAGGGGCTGGGCACTATCCATTCTGGAGTGGGGAGATACCCTTACAGTCCTCCCTCAAGGTATTCATCCTCACACCTGGCAGGGCCTGGGCCACCCCTCTGCCCTCTCCTCAGACCAAGGCACTCACTTTCCTAGGACTCTGAGACAAAAGTAGAGGCACTCCATCCAGCCTCACCTGCCCAATAGTCTTCCAGGGAAGACAGCAGGAACTGAGCCTTGTCTGTTCCAGGGTGTTAGGTACCGTCAGTTTTCCCTCCGGGTATTCATCTTTACTCCTGCCTGGGCCTGCACCACCCTCTGCTGACTTGTCTTGCCACCTCAGACCAAGATGTCACCTCCGTGAGATACTCCATGACTTGTTCCCTATGGCAGAAGTGAGAGGTGGCCCCATCTTGCCACCCCTGCCTGGGGTCTCCTAGAGCTCACAGCAGGGGCTGGCCACATGTCTTCTGGGGTGAGAAGTACCCTCAGTCCTCCCTCAGAGTCTTCATCTTTACTCCTGGCATGGCCTGGGCTGCCCCCGTGCTTTTCTGCGTCACCCCCTCAGACCAAGGCCTCATGTCCCTGAAACACTTCCCTACCCCATCCATGGGGGAAGCGATGTTGTGCCACATCTGACCACCCCTGCCCAGGGCCTCCTAGGGCTGAGAACAGAGGACAGGCAGACTCTGTGGGGTCCCTTCTTTTCTGCATGGGCAGTACCTTCAGTCCTTACCAAGAACCCTTACCTTGACTCCTGGTGAAGCCCGGGCTCTTTCCTCTGCTGACCTGATGTGGCTCTCTCACTGACCTGCCGTCACCGTCTCAGGCCAAGGCCCTCACCTCCCTGAACCCCCAGCCAGAGACAAAAGTGAGAAGGCATTACATCCCTTGTCTCCCATAGGAAAGTCCCTCCCCCGACCCAAGTGCTCCCTCAGGATCCCCTTCTTGATCTCTGGCAGGGCCCAGAACTCCTTCCTCTACTGTGCTGATGCATTACCCCTCAGACCGAGCCTCACTTCCCTCCAACTCTCACATCTGGAGTCAGGAAAAATATGCAAGGACCATGCCTTGGGTCCTCCAGTGATGACAGCAGTGGTAAGGTGGGGCTGAGTTC